CTCTCTCTCTCTCTCTCTCTCTCTCTCTCTCTCTCTCTCTCTCAGTGTCCCTCACTTCCAAAGTATATCTTTCGGAGCTAAAACACGTTACATACCTATACCCAGATAAACAAAGACACAAAAACTCCACCCAATTTATTCCCACTCCTGAACGCAATCCCCCCACCTCCTCCCTTGCAACCCTCCCTGACCTCCCTTGCCCCCCCCCCCCATCCCACCCCCAATCCCTACTCCAAACCTCACCCCCTCAACGGAGAGAGTGTGCACTGATAGTTGGGACTCAACAGTCAACAAATTTAAAGACAAAGGGCGTAATCTGACGGCCGCCTACCGTCCCCCTTCTCCCCAATGCTTTCAGCCCATGTCCTCTCAACCGTTACCCGGTGACTGACAGCTCGTGTCATTTACCTGCACGGTGTGAACTACCATCCACCAACACCGACGGCAAATTGTGTAGGTTGGTCAGTTGGATGGATGGCTCTTAAGTGAAAACGGGTGGATAGATAGAAGTAAGGAAGTTGGGGCGGCAGAAATATTAAGCGAGGGACAGGCAGAGATGAAAGAGAGAGAAAGAGAGACAGAGAGACAGAGACAGAGAGAGAGAGAGAGAGAGAGAGAGAGAGAGAGAGAGAGAGAGAGAGAAATAGATAAATAGAGAGAGAGAGAGAGAGAGAGAGAGAGAGAGAGAGAGAAAGACGGACAAACAGACAGACAGACAGACAGAGAAACAAGAGAAGGTGTAAGTGTGAATGTCTGAACTGATAAGTGTAAGATACAACATGGCCACTTGCTTTATATTTTATGGTGTTAGTATCCCAGCACACAGCAAATTGTTTGGAGGGGGGGGGGGTGCACCCTAAAGTAAATGAAACCAACTAGATTTTAGCATCTGGTGTATATATAAAAATATTTTACAGTTGATAGGAAGAAGCCACCCCCCCCCCCCCCTAACAAAAAAATAAATTAAAAAAATAATGATAAACAAATACACAAATCAAGGATATGAAATATATAGGATTGCGAAGATTTGACGACCCTTGTAACACTAAAAGGCTATATAAGAGGCGTGACCTCTGAATTTAACGTCCACCTCCGATATGACCGAGCGGAATGGAAAAATTGGTGCAATGAGAATTTCTCAAGGACACAACGTCGGACCAAACTAAGCCTTAAACCCTGAACCCGCAATCTCAAAATTACGAATCCAGTGGCCAAACCACTAGACTATCGACGCCATCAAAATATATAGGTGTACATATCACAGCTAAAATAAAATAGAAATTTGAACTAGTGAAACAAATATCTTTATGCAATTTGCTAACTAATTAACTAACCTACTTACTAACTATGCATGCATTCCCAGCAAGTTGAGTAAATTGTTCAAACTACTTAAGCGGCGTGCCGAGCACGAGAAGCTGCATTCTTATACACGTACCAACCATGACACGAAAAGTCCTTGGTCAACATTGACTCAACACTCATCAATCGCAGAGTGCTCTCTCTCTCTCTCTCTCTCTCTCTCTCTCTCTCTCTCTCTCTCTCTCTCTCTCTCTCTCTCTGTGTCTCTGTCTCTGTCTCTCTCTCTCTCTCTCTCTCTCTCTCTCTCTATCTATCTATCTATATATCTATCTCCCTCTCTGCCTGTCTCTCTCTCTTTCTCTCTCTCTCCCCATCTCTCCCTCTATCTATCTCTCCCTCTATCTATCTATCTATCTTTATTTATCTATCTATCTATCTATCTATCTATCTATCTATCTATCTATCTATCTATCTATCTATCTATCTATCTATCTATCAATCTATCTATCTATCTATTTATCTATCTATCTATCCACATATCTATCTATCTGTCTATCTATCTCTGTCTCTCAGCAGTTTTGTCTCTCTCTCTCTCTCTCTCTCTCTCTCTCTCTCTCTCTCTCTCTCTCTCTCTCTCTCTTTATCTCTCTTTTTCTTTCTATCTCTCTATATCTATGTATTTCTCATATCTCTCCCAACACTTTCCTCAAACACATGTTTTCCTCTCAATTTCCCCATTTCGTCGGGCTTTGTAAAAATAGAGTCCGGCGCAGAAACAGAACACACACGTGTGAATAATGACGTCCACTACAAAAACAACAAAAAACAACAAAAAAAACACGAACGCCAAAAAACTACGCTCGCCTCTGCATCCGCAATTTAAGTTAAAAGTCTCTATCGCGAATGACATTACGATGATCCAAAGTTGCTCAAGTGAGAGTAAAGGCTCTGGGTGTGCGTGATAGATCAAGTGAATTCCAAAATGGAATGTTCAAGACTAATTTTACCTCCGCGACGTCTATATATTTAACCTCCCCTGATCACATAAGCCCCCACCCCCACCCCCACCCCGAAAAAACAAACAAACAAACAAAAAACAAAAAA